AGCATCACTCATCAACTAAGCGTCACCCAGGTCCATATGTTTACTTTGTCTGCTGTCCTAAGACCCAATTGCACCTGCTACATCAAGATAAACATTCAGCACCACGCGCCACCTGCCGATTAGCGCAGTTAGTCTGCAGCTCTCCAAACATAGCGTGACACATAATTAGCTGAAACTGTCCAATGATAGACCGTCCATAATCACAATTGTAAATCATATTGCAGAGGCCAGCACACGTGCTCATATTCTTGATCACCGGCAACGTGGCGCCCCAGTGAAAACATGCCAATGCATGTGAGTTAGGAGTAAAGTCTGGCCATGACTCCATATTACTTCCGTCCATGGTATTAATATCACTTCCCTGTTCGAATGATGAGTTTACGTCAAGCTTGACGGGGTCTCTAATGCCCAAATCAACAAACTTCAAGCTAATTAAAGCCTCTTTTGTGCGGATTAGCAGCATAAAACCAAATCCAGTCCAGGCTATAATGCACGGCGCAATGCTCACATATTCAAATCTTCCAACTCACACTGCTTACGTGCCGTTTTATAGTGGGGAAGACAGTGCATCATACAGCGGTATGGTCCTGTGTGACCCCCGACCTACTTTGAAAATTCATTGAATATAATATATATATATTATATATATATATATTTCTACTCTCCTCCTCTCTCTCTCTATCTATCTCGATCGCTCTCTCGCTCTCTACTCTATCTATCTATATCTCTCTCTCTCTCTCTCTACCCTCTCTCTCCTCTCTCTCTCTCTCTCTCTCTCTCTCTCTATTCTCCTCTCTCTCTATCTCTCCTCTTCGCTCGCTCGATTTCTCTTATCTCTATTTATAGATATATATATATATATATACGAGAGAGAGCTAGAGGAGATAGAGAAGTAGAAGAGAGAGAGAGAGAGAGAGAGAGAGAGAGAGAGAGAGAGAGAGAGAGAGAGATATATATATATATATATATATATATATATATATATATTCAAGTATCTCAACTACGCAGGAGCCCAACCAGAGACATACCTTGCCCTCTTTTCACGCTTCGCGCTTAAAAAGGACTTGCGCACAGAGGAGTTATTGATGGTGTACAGTAAAGTTGAGTTAAAAACGACTGCTTTGGAAAGGACAGGCTATAACTGGTAATCAGTTACCTTTAAAAAACACTTGAAAGTACCGACCAGATTTGCACTCCGAGCATTGACCGGCACCGGTGGGCGCCTCGAGCCTGAACGAAATTTGGTCAGCTGCTCCCATCGTCGCAGTCGCTATGACGCCGCCCGGCCTGCGGTCGGCGGCGGTAGGTCGCTAGCACCACGCGGCGCGCCGCGTCGGAGGCCCGGCAGGCAGCGGGCAGCGAATAGCAGTTCTTACAAAGAGGCCTCCACAATTAGGCTAACGTCCACGAATTGATTGTCAGTGAAAAGCGAACGGTGGTTCTGCTGGACAGCTTCCGAAAACGAGCAAATCTGGTGCATCCACACGGCGTAATTGCGTGAGTAATAATGCGGAGAGGAATGAAACAGGGCAGTGTAAAGGACACTAATATGTGAATATGAGCGACAGTTATGTGGCCAATAGAAACAATTGCGGTGATCACAAAGCTGCCCATGCGCACAGCTACAAAGAAATACCGAGTGGGTTTCTCAAGAACCGCATGACGTAAAACCAAATCATTAACGCCTAACAGTCGCAATTCACAGTATTAGGTACTCTCTACTCCTCCCTACCACTTGCAGCGTGCATTCAGTGCAGGCGGTGAGCAGAGTGAGACAGCCGTGACCTATCGCTCGTTACGCCTAAGGGACAAGCTCTGACCAGGCGTTAAATGTCTCCCCCGCAGCTCTCCCAGCCTTTGGCGAAGTCATGAGGTTCTGTCGTCTCTCGTCATGAGACAGCGATCTTGATCTTGCCGCGTCAGTTACGAGCTTCACACCCCTCGCCACACTTCGCGAGTGACACGAGCAGCTGGGCGGGACCAGCAGTCGCTCCCGCGCGCGCTCCATCCCCGAATCAGGCGTATCACGTGTCATGGGCTGGGCGGTGATTGGGCCGTCCCAGCTGATCATGCCGGAGCATCTGTATCAGCTTTCTGTTAAGCCGGGTAACCCTGGACCGCCGTGGCGGGTGTCGATGTCGCTTCCTGACGGCCAGAATCGCGTCGAGCGTCCTCCGCTGGACTTTTCTGTCAGCGTCGGTCACCATCACTACTATCACGCTTTCCGGGCCCCGCGGCGAAGGCGTTTCTGATTGCGTATTTCAGCATATGCATGGACGCAAACGACTGTAGCGGCAAGCAGGCTGGCGCCAATAGAGTCGGGTCCAGTGCACCATTTACAGTGGCCCGCCTTGGCCCTGAGACGGAAGCAGCACCCACGCGCACTGCCACGCCCCGTCCTCCCCCGTCCTCTACGCGCGCACAGGTGTTCGGGCCAATGAGGTCAGTTGTGACAAAACGTCCCGATTTGGTGGATAAAGTTGACGGAAAAAAATTATATTTCACGACACATTCGGTGTCAAAAAAGGGTTTTTCACTTACAGTGCTGGCAATGGCAAATATAAAATATTGGAACGGCCACTCAACGACCAAAAATAAAGCTTCAATGCTATCGCATTCATTCGCATAATCTTTGTACGCGTTTACGTGCAGACCCTTAGTACCGTACCATAAGGCGCTATCATATCTTTTTCACGTTTCATCCTAGCCTAGCGGGAAAAAAACATCCGCACTCAGCTGATTTTAGCATTCTTATAGTCTGTGACTGTGACTTCTTATAGACTGTGGAACATCTCACATTTCAGAACGTCACGATAGTTTGTGGTGCTGCTATCCGTACTCCGGCCCATATGTTGCTACCCTTCTATGTGTGTCCGCAAGCGTGCCCGGATTTTCGGTTAAGGTATGATCGATCTGCCGATTTACCCATTCAGTATGAATACCCCAGGGTTTCCCGACTCATGGACGCCGTTAGTCCTAGCCAACCCCCGGCACGCCGCGTAATCCCGAGACGTACCCAGGCTGCAGCATTCCCACCAATGCCACCACTTTCTGGACCACGTTCGTCCTGTCAGTTGCAAAGACATCATTTGCAAGGACATGTAAGTCCAATTAGCTTCCTGATCCGGATTAAGCGTGCTTGGACTACTCCATAAATTGCCATTGGAATCACTCACCCAGCCTTCAAAGTGACTGGACTTAGAGCTGTTTTGGCTGAACAAACAAAGAAGCTCTGATGAGCACTCAAAAGGACACCAAATCTAAATCTCATCCGCCGTAAAATTCCGACATTTCACGGCAGTGACCTGGCCACCAGCACCAGCACCCAGCGCTCGCAGCTGACGGGGGCAGCCGGGCTGCCGGCGCGGCGCCGCCCCATTACCGCAGCATTTCGGTCGGAGCGATTCCGCCGTCCCACCCGTGGGATAACGTCACTCACGGCCGGTGCCGGCCGGGCGAGGCGGGGCCGGGGCTCCGCCCGCACGCCGCCGACTGTTTTTGTTCCCGCCGGCCTCAGTCAGAGGCGCCCATCGCGGCTCTATTGCAGCTCGGAGACGGAGATGTGTTCGGCGGTTTGTTCGGGCAGCGGCGCCGCCGGCGCGGCATGGCACCGCTCTGACGTCACGCATGGAAGTCAGCCGAGGCCAGCCCGGCTTTTTGTGAGGCGAAACTCACGGCTTCTGGGAGCGTTGAGAAAACTGCAGCTGCCAAACGGCACACATGTTTGTGGACACGACACCGCCTTATGACGTTCGTTATATATAATTAGCGTCCTCCTTGACCCTGTTTAGTTTGTCGCAGATGGAAAGTGGAACTGCGGTAAGAGCACGCGCCGTTGCTGGCAAAGTGGTGTCAGTGTCCTGAAGAGTGGGTTAAAATTATTGTAGAGGTTAATTATTTACAGCATCAGGAGCAATGCCAAGCGAAAATGGTGTTAGATAGTCTGGCAGCGTCAGTGCAATAACACTTCCCACATTTGTCACGGATATGCACGGTGGCATAGCCAGGAATTGGTCCCGATAGTTCCAGGGACCCCTCTAGCCGCGTGGGCCCTCTCCGTTGCTTTCTGGTGTCCGTGTTCATGTTTGAGAAGGTCCTCGAGCGTTTTAAAATGCAAAAATGATCGGGTCATTGACAACGAGGCTATGCCACTGGGTTCGCGCCATTTAATTTTCACATCGTAGGTGTGAAATTTGTGAGCGTGATATGGGGTCGTGTGGACGTGGCATGCGGTTGTGTGAACTTCGTATCCGCTGTCATGGTTCTTAATGCACCTCTGTACCGCGCCAATTCACAATCGCGCTGTGGCCGTTGACTTATGGGCCATCCTGGACATCCTGGTGATGTATAATCCAATCTGCCTGCCTGCTGGTGGGACTTTGTTCGCACAAGACAGACGCTGATGACCCTAACGAGACACAATAGCTCGGGGCCAATTTATCAGCTGCGGCCCTTCGGCAAACTGTGCGCGGTGACGGTGCGATGTTGACCTTTCTGGCGCAGGGGCCGCGACGCTGTCTCCAGCGTTATCAGACGTTGGACATCAGAAATTTGGATCTGTCTAGCTCGAATAAATGAACGACCTGGTAAGACGGTATTATCGGAACCCCAACAACAGAGCTTTTAATAGTTCTTCCAGTCCGAATGATAAAACCGTTTAGTACCAACCAATGGCACATTCCCATAGTTGAGTCTGTGCACTAGCTGCAACGGATTGCAAGTTGATTATGAGCCATCCATTTTAGCCGAGTGTTGCCATCGACATACAGCGCCCGCCGTCTAAAAAAGCAGGCATTTGCTCTTCTCACAAGCTCCAGAGAAGACGACCGCACTCAGTCGGCTGCTGGAGCTCGCTCCCCGGCGCATCCCGGGCCGTGCCGCGCTGGGAAGGCGAGGTCGGCCATCCACCACCGGGGCGGCGCAGGACAACGCCCGCCCCGCCCGTCGGATCTGCCGGGCGGTACGCGGATAAGGGGCGCCGCGCCGCGGCAAGCACTCACACGAGCACGTGGTAGACGGCTGCGCTTCGGCCGCGCGGCCGCTCCAAGAAGTTGTAGATTTTGCCCTGCACGCGCCGGTAGCGGTGGTCGCGGTGGCGCTGGGTTTTGAAGTGCAGCGGCTTGCCGAGCAGCGACATCCTGGGCGTGCGCAGGCGCTGACACTGGTAGCCGCCGTCCTCGCTGCAACGTCAGAAAGACAGCGTCAGTAGCGCCAACATCAAATGGCCACCATCAATGACTTTAACATCAAGCCGACAGCGTCAGTAACGTCAACATTAGACAATGTTACTGACGTCAACATCAGAAGGCCAGCGTCAATAGCATCAACATCAGGCAGTCAGTGTTACTGACGCCCACATTAGCCAGTCACATCACCATCTGAAGTCCAGCGTCAATCGCATCAACATCAGGCAGCCAGTGTCACTGGCGTCCACATCAGGTGGTCACATCACCATCCGAAGGCCAGCCGGGCCCGCCTGGAGCTGACATCGTGGGAGCGGTTCGGGCAGCGTCGCCTGTTAGCAGGGGTTAGGGTCTGTTCGGCCCACCTGGGGCTGACATCGTGGGCGCGGTTCGGGCAGCGTCGCCTGTTGGCAGGGGTAAGGGTCTGTTCGGCCGGCTCGGGCGCCTTGGAATGACTGGGTCGGACAGGCATCTCCTCTTAACGATCCGCGATAAGCCTAGCGACCGAATTACTGTGCGGTCGTGTCCGCAGAAACGAGAAGAAAGGTGAAGGCTGTTTCAGTTTCCATCCGTTGCAATGACTATGCAGCTGTACCGAGACACGATTTGTATGGAAATGCCTTTTGCAGTTAACATCTGGCATTTGCTTGGAGACAGTTCTTGACACCGAACATGGTCGTAACATTCAAAACGCATAGCAAAGACATAATACATTTATCTTGTCAAAATGGCCTTCATCACGTCCTGCTCAATAGACGCCGTCAATTCCGACACCCTGCCTTTTCCACTGGTATGGACATATAAACTATGTTTATGAACATAGTTCCAATCCATACAAACCTCTGAAAAATGCGCTCCGAAGCCAAGAAATATAATTTGCCGTTTCATGCAAGGTCTCATTACGTCGTCTACAACGTGCATCGTGTGAGCTCCATCTGCCTGTTTCATATTCACTTCAAATATTTTCTCAGTGGAGCTCAACTACGCACAACGCCGGCCAGGCTAATGGCGCCCGACCTTGTGAGTCAGGGGAGGGGCATGAGCTTCTGGCGCGCGCCCGCCGCCCGCTTGTTAACTTTATAATTAGCTCTGACCGCTTGTCACCGCGCTGACGAATACCGCCCCGGGGAGCCGGGAAAAACAGGCCGCCGCGCCACGTCAGCCGGCGGCGCGGCGCGGCCGCCGCTCTTGTGACAGTTGATGGCGCGGCTCGACACGGGCGACAGAGTGCGGCGTGGTGCGCCGCGGCCCCGCGCCTTGTCCAGCCGCGCCGACCGGCGGCCCGTCACGGGCTGGGTTCCCCGGCCGTCCCCGGAGACCGCCGCCTCAGAGAGGCGTGGCCGGTTGTCCGATGTTCTCATCGAAGCTCGGCGACACTTTAGCTGCCGCTGTGAGCTCCGGTCGGCGCGAGAATTCTTAATCGTTCACCGCTCGAGAACGGGGTTCAGTTCGCACTGTAATGGTGGGGTTCACTGCATACTATTCAATAATATGGTCCAGTTCTTACCGTTTCAGAATAGCTCTGGAACAAACCGTTCATGATTCGGCCCCAGTTCGTACTGCTCACGCATTGGTTGAACTCGCACAGTTCAATGATCGGCCGGCGAGCGCAGCGCCCAAGAATGACGACTAGCTGTATACTAATCAAGAACGGGGCGTGCCGGGATGTCCACAGTCCCGTGATTGGGACCAGTGTCAACAGAGCTCTGTAACACCGCGGGTCAGTGATGTCAGCTGGCCGGGGTCCGAATCTCCGGTTCACTGCTCGTCTGAGCCGACCCAGGCCGGCCAAACTTCATCGGCTGCAGCTGGACTCTGTCGCGGGCGCGTCGGCCCTGACCCTGTGTGGGCCGGGCTAAGATAGGCCTCATCGCCGCCGACTCCATTTCACGTGGGCCGTTGGCGCCGTCCGCCGAGTCGATGACCGTCCGGCAATCATCATCATGGACTGAGCGCTGGCGGAGCGGGTGGCGGTCGAGTGTCAGGCAGCGACGTTATGTCGGGGGGTGGCGGGGGTGCAAGGTCGTCGTCATGTCTGAAAATACTCGCCGAGTGCTGCTTAGTGGAGTCAGCTGAACCTCCTGCTTGGCATGGAAGGGGGAAAGCGTGAGAATGATTGTTATAATATAGTGTTACAGAGCTATCACGATGTTGACTGGCAACAGACAGGACAAGAAACATGTATTCGCTTGCGTATATTCCCGCGCTTCGGTGAAGCACCCTCCTGAGGTGAAGCACTCTCCTGGGGAAGCACGATACAACGGATACCACCGATTGGTTCACCCTCCAAATCAGAATACCAGCGTCGTGGTCCGATCGCGTCTGCGACTGATGCCCAGCGAATAGTACATAACATCGTCATGGGACGGCCGCGGTACCTCTTTGGGCTCAAAGAAAACATTGACGTTTTGTTCCGTAGAAATAGGAAAAACCCAGGCAAGTCACTGACGATTGCAGTCGAGCCCATTGGGCGGCGCACTGTACAAATACCACGACATCGAGTGTGTCAGCCAATGGCAGCATAAGCACGCAATTGCTCCGAAAGAAAGGAAAACCTCGTTAACGCACTCCAGGCGGTGCTGGCAATGTCGCCGCGGAGTCTACGGCCCACCGGAAGCGGCTAGACGCTCCATGCTCTCAGCGCGACGAACACCATTTGAAGTATCATTCGCTGATACTAAAACATCAATGTTCCATTTGATACTCCGCCCAGCCCTGTTGCTAACCTCGGCTGTCCGTATGCGTGATGCTCATTTTCATTTTCGGCGCGATCGTCTTTTGCCATTATCTGTTTTTGTGCTAAGTAAGCCTTTGCGCGTTTGGTACAGAAATTGGTGCATGCAGGGAGGAAGTGTTTTTATACCATCGCACAAGTTACCCCTGTTCAGCCAGTTACTCTAGTTCAGTTACTAAAATTGTCGATGCTTACCATGCAATATGATGTCCCCAGACGACTCGTTTCCCTACATCATGCGTTGCTCCTGCATTCAATTCAATTCAAGCTACTAGTGAGCTGCCGTGGCCAACACCCCGCTTCCTCCAACAAGCCGGATTCATCGCCTCGCATCCGTCCTTGCAGCGTCTCGCCTGGCAGCGTGCTCGACCCGTGCTCCATGCGGCTGCGCTTGGGGAGTGAAGGGAGGGGGGGGGGGGGGAGATGCCCTCACCAAGCGTCATCTGAAGGGGGCGCCACGTGCGCGCACCCAGTCCAGGGCGGCAGGTGCGATCGACCCGCCCCTGGGAACAGCCTCCGGCGCCGGACAACACACTTATACGCAGCCTAATTGCCTCCTTTGTCGGGCCCGCCGGAGGATTCCGTTCCACTGCTCGCGCCCGCGGGCGGCGCGCCGGGCCACCCACGCCCTCTTGTCCCCCCCCCCCCCCCCCGGCGGGGGGGGGGGGGGGACGAGAGGGCTCTCGGGGCTCATTCACATGCGGTTGGAATGCGGCACCCTGCGACGCTGGCCGCACGGGGCAGATATGGGGATGAACGCGACAGGGCCTTGGGGCGGTGTGTGATCGCTCAAATTAAGAGAGGATATCATTCCAGCTTATTTGATTGAGTCGGTGATAAGCCCGAGGACACCCTCGCAGAAAAGACAGGCATTGGGGCGTCTTTAAAAAATGTTCTTTGTTTTCAGCGGACATGTGCATTTCACATCAACTTGAATTTGATTTGTTAACGAAATAAAAATGTTCGTCAAAGAAGCAAGTAATGAAACAGCATAACACAACGTCGATTACATCTGCAGACGTTTCTTTACTATGCATAATCGCAGCAATTATGTCAGAAAAGGCAAAGGAGATCTGCCTATATAGTGTAGCATTTCTGTTGAATATAACACACAGAGGTTATTAAACTCAGCTCAACGAACTCAATCGTGGTTCATCTCAACAGTTGGTTTGGTGTGTCCCTTATTTATTGTTTCTGCTATTTACATGCAGGATGTATGTTGGGTAATTCACGTTAAAAGAGTAATTTAATAATTGCCAGCATAGTATCCTTCGGCCAAGACACATTCTTATGACTCAAACTACCCAAGGATCAATTCTCCTTTGGAAGCTGCAAGGAATTGATAAGAAACATTGTCTTTCTGCATTTTGGCTTACTGTGACTGGCCTCCAGTTAACTGGATCATGATGGATGACGCCATGAATAATAAATGTGGGTAGGAAATGTACACGGTAATTCATTGCGTTTGAAAGCACCATGATTGGAACTGCTAGTTGAGGTGATGATCGGACCCAGCACTGTTCGTTACTACCAGAGCTGCTATTTTGTATTCCTCGGATCCACAAAGCGCGGGCTTAAAATCCTGCAGGGTCCTGGAGGGCATTCTATACGTCGAATTCACCAATTCGTGTTTTCTTCAGCACAAATGTACATGACACCATCCATTATCATGGGGAATCAATGGCGTACAGGCATAGAAAGCAAGTGCTGATGGAAAAGGGTGTTTTATTGTACTGACAATTGCACAATTGAGGTCATGACCACCATAAATTTAATTGGCCATTGGTCAGACATAATGGTTAGAACTAGGTCAAAACCAGTCTGTTTTTCTGGAGAGCTTGCTGTATGAGGTCGTTTCTGATGTCCATTTTGAATGTTTGGATAACAGGGACGGCAACAGACATATTACTTGTACTTATCAAAAGGTCAGAGGAGGTCAATGACCTAAAATAAGACAGATCGACAGCTTTTAGGAACATGTCGACCGAGTGTAGCGTAATGCATGACGCTTATACAAACTTAAAAATAAGCCATCTCATAGATCTTTGGCAACCAAGACCTTCCAAAAGTTAACAAAAGCTACTGACCCGCAATGAACACCAGGGACGTTTTGCTTACAACAGGTATCTAGGTTTAACACGGCTACAAGAGGAGGTCTGGCACTCCGGACACTAATCAGCAGTCTACCTCGTTCGACCTTTTGATCCGAAGTTCACAACCTAGGGGCCCCAAATGTAGACACGAGTGAGCACACACAAGGAGA